GAGTGATTGTGAGGTATGCCCGAGTGACAAGAGTGATTGTGAGGTATGCCCGAGTGGCACGAGTGACTGTGATGTTTTTCCCGAGGGACTGTATATGAGTGATGTTTTGCCCGAGGGGCTGTTTATGATTTCATCATTTTTGCTCACCTTTGCATTGAGCCTTTGTTTGAAAAACTGTTGGAAAAATATCTTTAAATGATTTTTACTGGAACTGGGTTTAAACGAGATGTTTGATTCAAATCCTGATTTTAAAAGCATGTGGTATTTTAGTGAGATTTCCTGATATGAACGTTATATGCTTTATTGCTCGTCACTACTGCTCAGTCTTTATTTATTGTTGTTACTTACTGAGTTGGCGTACTCACGTTACTCCCTGCACCTTGTGTGCAGATTCAGGTGTAGCTGGACACGGTAGCGGTTATTGAGTGTTCTGGTTGCAGATTTTCTTGGAGATAGCAAGGTAGCTGTTTGGCGATCGCAGCCCCTGCTCTTCTCCCTCTTATCTTCCTCTAGTTGTATTTAGCTATTTTTCAGGCTGAGTTAGCCTTGATATTATTAGACATATTGTAGCAGATGCTCATGACTAGCGACACCCAGATGTCGGGCTTTTTTTTTTTTCCGCACTTCTGTTTTTCTTTGATTTGAACTCTTTAAATGGAGGTTTTATGTTAAATAACCTTGAAATTATCTTTAAAATGAAAATATCAGTTTGTTTTGGAAATGAGTCGGCTTGCCTAGTTCCACGATAGGCGCCATCACGACAGGGGTTAGTTTTGGGTCGTGACAGTTAAGTAAGTAGTTAGTGGAGAGGTTAATTAGTTAGTGACGGCTAAGCATAGATAGTGTATATATTAGTCACGTGTACTTCTTTTTCTTTTTTGAGCTTCAATGAAACAGTTCCACAACAGAGTCTTCTTCTTCTCTTCTCGCTCTATCTCTGCATGTCATCTTCTTTGTCTCTCTCTCTCTCTCTCTCTCTCTCTCTCTCTTAATTCTTCAAAATATAATATTTGTTTTGATTGCTGTTTAAATTTTATTGTATCGTATCGTTAAATTCGTCATTATGGAACAATGAAAAGTGCCACTTTATGGAATGACGTATTTGGTGTGGTCGCATCGTTACGTTATTTTTTTTGGTCTCATCTTGACCTTTATTCTTAAATAATCATATTTTATCATTTACCCTACCTTTTTATATAATAATTCTACCTCGTATCTTACTTTTTATTTGTAATATTGCAAGTTTATTCTTCATATTGTCGGCGCGTGACATCATGAAACGATGACAAACAATACAATCTATCCAAATATTGTATATATCAAAACGATATAGTACAATACAATACAGTACTATACGATACATTATGAAACGATATACAACAACCATCCATACAAGCTGTAAATAATTGAGCACATTCGTTACAAGGATAAATAACTTATGGTAATTTTATACGGTCTGGTGTAAACATCGGATGGGGGTAAATTTTTATCGTTGTTTTATTTACTCAACTTCTTTGGAATGGCCTGATTACTAGCAAGAAAATGTAAATTTGCATCTCATTTTTCGTCAATAGAGAAGGACGGTGGGGTAATAAGTTATGAAAAATGAGAAAAGATGAACTGACCTCATAGAGGGATCTGCCATAGCCGAAGATGAAATCAACAGAGCCTTGGATGAAGCAATTATTGAAATAGTGAAGTCCCTTGTGATCGTAAAGGGTGTCTTGACTTCCGTAGAAACTGCAGTCGTAAAATGCTGCCTTGTTCCCCGATATTCTCAGTGCCACTGCTTGTTCTCCCACCGACCCTACCACATGTGCTGCTGTATTCTACAAAACCCTACGTACCTTAATTTTCTTTATCAAATGCAGTACATATATTGCCAATCTCCTATAGTGACTTTATAATTATGTCAACGTTTCCAATAATAAGATACATTTAACTTTTATTGCGCTCCAATTACAAATGCTCAAAATACAGAGGACAACTTTGTCAATGCACGACCTGCAAACTGCATTTTCCCCTTGTCTTTGATTGAGATACTAATATATTTAAATATAAACAATATTTATATGCTAACGCTGTTTCAATTTCTGTTTTATCCTTTGGAATGTTTTGTATGGCAGTAGAATTTCCCCTTCGCCTAAGAACTTGTAAAAAATATGTCGGAGATCCGAATAAAAGTCTCATATTTGTATTTGAAAAGATTAAAAAACTACCTAAAAGACATAGGAATAATTTTAATGATGTGAGGCCTCTTAGAAAAGATCATGCGAGCTTGACAAAAAACGGACAGTATTACATGATGTTATGAATATCTTTGGACTGATTGAACCCAACAAAATCCATGTGACAAATGGACCTTATAACAGTATCATGAACCTATTGTATGCACAGGGAATTATATCTTAATTCATAATTTCATATGCGTATTGGTCTAGTCAACAGCTTTAAAAAAACAGTACCCATAGACAAGAATATAGAGATTTACCTCAAAAATGACGTTAGTGGCCACAAAATAATCAGCATCCACAGAAACAGTAGCGCTTTGGAATGTCTTCAATGGCCTGCCGTCGGTTCCAGCAGCCGCAGCTGTGTCATTGCCTGTGATCCTCGGCGGATCGCTACTATCCCCCCGAAATGTCACAAATGGCAAACTTCTTGGAATGTTAATCTTTTCCCTATAATTATTCACTTACCGTCGTCATAATATAGTTTTAAATTTGATATTTGCTGAGTGGTTAAAGATATTAGTTACTACTATGGTATAGGTTAATAGGTCATAGCAAGTTATTTTATTTTTACGATGGATTTATGTTATATACACTACTAGTATAAAAGAGTTTTACACCATCAATATCGTTTTAATTACCACCAGTAACAAACGAGTTACACTTTTTTCTTATGTTACCACTTCATGCTTATTATCAAAAGTTATTTTCAATATTTAATTTTTAAGTAACGTAATAGTTAAAAACAATTTACAGTTTCATATTACTAATCCATATTTTAGTGTATGTATCTAAATGCAGTTCAATTATTAATTATCTGATTGTATATATATCTTTTACACCGTCAGTGACAGTGATAGAGTAGGAATTAGCAAATACATACCAATAAACTCCATGTTTGATGTCCAATATGACCCGACGCTTGTTATAAACAGGAATGCTAGCAAGAGCTTCTTTAATAGTCTTAAAGTTGCCACTTCCGTCTTGACTCACACTGATTATCATTTTGTTCATCTCCGCATTTCTAAGCTTTGGATCCAGGCTACTAGCTGGAACTTGTTGTTTTCTGTTTCTGACTGATTCTTGCATCCATTTCAAACTTGCTGCTCTCTTTCTGTTGTAGTGCTTCACATTCAAAGATATCCATTCCTCTAACTTCCCAACATTGTCTTTTTCTTGATTTTCAAGTGGGCTACTGCTTTGTAAAGACAAGCTTCTCGAATATGGCAATTGCACGACAAGGAGAAGCAACAGAATAAGTGCAGCTGATGCCATATTGGATAGCAGCCAGTGAGCTTAACTTTAGTTGGAACTGCTAGTGTGCAACAATATATAAAAAATTCTATCCAAAATACTAGAAAAACTAAGCACTATCTTTATGTTTGCATGATCACATGCATATAAATATTGACACAAGGAAAATACTGTGGTTAGGTGTGGCCTAATCTTGAGCTGCATTTACGAAACTGACCTTCAGGATACTACATTGTAAATAATTTGAACTATATATATATATATATATATTGATAGTGTAAAAAAAAAACTACACTATGCGATTAAATTGGTTATTACAGGTTCTCACTTTATTAACCAGCTTATGTCTAGTATTGTAAATCAGTTTTATCTGATTGTACGCATTGCTTATATACTGTAGCACTAAATTTATTCTATGTGGTAAAAATTAGCAACAAAAGAAGAAATGGAAGTCTAGGGACATTTTATGAAATGAAGCATCCGTAGTGGTGGCATTATAAGCAGTTTAGGGGTCCCTACCCTCTCAAATCTATAAGGATTGGCACTTAGGAGTTGGGTCACGGTTGTGGTGCAAAGCCATGTTTCAATTTAGTGACAAAAAATAGGAGAGCCCTATATATCAGTATTGCGCATTGTACCTACCTAATTAGCTGTATCCCAATTGATTTTGTTTGTTCAGATAAATACCAATAGTATATATGGACAGTAACCGAACAAAGGAGATAGAAAATATCCAACCCCCTAATTATATTTCACTGTTTCAGAGCCTCTCATTCGAGAGTCTGAGAATGCTATTGAATTTAAAAGTGGTCATTGCATTAGTAAACTAACGCTTTGCTTTTGTTTTCTTTTGTTATTTTTTTTAATTATTTGTTTATTTTTTTTGTGAGTGTTTGTTTTTGACTTTGTGAGACAACCCGACGCCTCTTGTGAGGAGCGAAACTACAATATTAATTGCAAATTCAATAATTAAAATGAGTTATGAATTTAATAATAAATCGAATATTTAAACTTTAAATTCTGATATCGCCCTATATACGACCATAATTTCTTAGTGGAGAAGCGGACCTGCAACTTTGGTGGAAGGGCTTCTGGACCAGGACCCCATACCGCATATTCAACAGTATTAATTCTGGCTAAAATGTCACTCAATTTTCTTCTACACAAAGTCATTGCTGGGGAATTAAACTTCCTACCGACAAAATCCCCCATTTCACTTGTTAATTGATATCTTCCCCAACTAAAACGAGGGGTGTCAAATGGGCATGTTAGATCAATTTTGGACGGGTCAAAATGGATTGAATCAATAAATAGTCAGGTCAATGACCCGTTCAAAAGTTATTTGGGTTGAGATAGATACTGGGTCAAGATGAGCTAAAATTTAGGTAATAGTCTAACCCGCTCAACTCTTACCAAACTTTAATTAATATGTGTTATTTTCTTATGAATTATATAACTACTAAATAAGACTTTCTTTTTTAGCATATCAAACAAAAAATATTATATATTTTGGCAAAGTTACTCATGGATGAATTTGGGCTATAAATCAGTCAAACTTTAAATGAATTGAGATGAGTTGGATCAAGATAGACTGAATTCAATAAATGGGTGGGCCAACAACTAGCCCAACTTTGGACCGATTGGAAGGATCATTTGGGCTTGGGCCAAATTTGACTACCCTAGCTGAAACCGAGAACAACCATAGTACTCTTCATGGGCCTGACGGTATGTACCGGAGGAGCCCAATTAGTGAAAACTTTACATAAATAGCCGGTCATATTCATTGTTTACTTATTCTAGCCCCATATATAGATTATACATTGATAATACATAATTATACGCATATAATACACAAATTATACATATATTATACCTTTACTGGCTATTTTAAGTTTAAGTGGTTGGATGAACGACTATTAGGTTAATTTCTAATTAGTAAAATTGGGCTATCAGCCTACACAATGTTTGAGTTTGGAACTATGGGCCCAATTTATTCATGTCACCTTCACATAAATTTTAAATGAAGCTATGGTATTGCTCAAGTTTCCATTGTTGAATGATAGATCCTTCGTTGATAGAGTGTTATATTCATATTCTTCTAAATATATATTTTCTTTGTATTTGTAGTTTGCAGTATACTATATTTTATCTAGTTGAATTCCAAATTCTCTTCATAAGTGATTGTCAAACTCTCTTGTCCTATTCTAAGATTGTTGGCATCCCCCCTCCCCCCTAATTCTTAGGGTCTGCTGTTCGACAACAGAGAGTTATATTTGGCGAAGAGTTCTCTTGTTATATATATAGTTTTGTTTTTGGTTTTATTGATGTTTTTATTTTGACTAACGCTTTCATTTGTATTCAAATTTAAAAAAAAGTAATTTCCTTGGTATAATTCACGATTTTATTTTATATACATTATAAAGTGGTACAAATTCTGAAAAGAAAAGACAATTCGATCAAATATTTATTTTTAAATTTTTTTATCTGTTAGAAAAAGAGATAATCTACTATTTTTCCTTATAAATTTTCCTTTTAGAAAATAACAAATTCAATAAAAAACTATAAAAGATAAAACCTATAGCCATTAATTTATATAGTTAAGTATCATGACAGAAATTCCAATATTTTAACTAAAGCTCTTAAAGAGTCTTCTAGATCAAAGTCGACAACTCCACTTGAGTGACCATGAATTCTAGGTAATCAGCAAACTTGTCATTACTTTATTAATTTACCTTATAAAAATTTCCCTATTAAAGTATCTTTTTGAGCGAAGAGTTGATTGAAAATAACCTCTTTACCTCACACAAGGTAGGAGTAAGGTTGCATACCCTCTATCCTCTCCAGGCTTCACTTATGAGATCACACTGAATATGTTTTTGTTTTTGTTGTAAATTAATTTATGACCAAAACATCTTTTATGCAATGCAATTTGAACCATATAAACAATAACAAATTCCTAGTGTCTTCGGATTAATCAGATGTTTCAAAAGGGATAACTCATATTATAACTTGCTAATTGTTTATGTAACGATTCAACTGGCCGTTTTGTATATTGTAGCCCCGTTTTCCTATTTATTGTCTCTTCTATGTTCATTTGTGGTTATGTGATTTACGGGGGTGGTTGGATTGATTTCGGGGAAGTTTCGGAGTGAGTTGGGACACTTAGTTCCAAGGTTGAAAACTTAAGTTGAAAGAGTTGGACGGGGTTTAATTTTTTGTGTAGACGACTTCGGAATGGTATTTTGATGATTTCAATAGCTTCGTATGGTGATTTTGGACGTAGGCATATGCCCGAATTTTGATTCGGAGGTTTGGAGGTTAATTTGGTATTTTTTTTTTGGCGAAAGTAGGAAAATTGAAGGTTTGGAAGGTTGAGAGGTTTGATCGAGAGTTGACTTTGTTGATATCGGGTTAAATTTTAGTTCTGGGAAATGGAATAGATCCGTTGTATCATTTGGGATTTGCATGCAAAATTTGAGGTCATTCAAAGTTGATTTGATACGGTTCGGCACGAGTTTTGGAAGTTGAAAGTTAATTAGTTTCAATAGGCTTGAATTAATTCACAATTCATGATTTTGCCGTTATTTTATGTGATTTGAGTCTTCGAGTAAGATCGTATTGTATTTTAGGACTTGTTGGTATATTTGGATAGGGTCCATGGGGCCTCGGGGGTATTTTAGATGGTTGACGGATCATGTTTGGACTTAGAGGAATTGCTGATTTGGCCGCAGGTGCGAGGCCACAGAAACGGCCTGGTTGATTTACTTTCAAGGTTTTGCACCTCTCAAGTACAAAGAAGAGAGATAAACAAAAGTATCCCACTAAAGATTTTCACAAAACTAGCGAAAGTGTTTTTCAACTCACGTTAGAAGAATGCAAGATGGAAAGAAACCTCACCCACACATTCCGCAATCCCACAAGATTGCAAGAAGCGTTGAATAAAGGAAGAAGAATGAAATAAAAGATCAATCACGTTGCTAATGCTCAAAAAAATTAAACACCAATATTTATTTTTAGCATATTATGCCCTTTAAATAGGCCTTACAATGAGTAAAATTGATAAGGTTAAGAAAAGTTAATCCTAATTAAACTAGGATAAGAATAAGGCTAAGAAAACCTTTCCTAACTAAAATAGGAAAAAGAATTCTAGTAGGATTAGACTACTAACTAACAATCCTAATTTGACTAGAATTATAAATATAATCCTACTAAAACAAGTATAAAAAAATCCTAATCTTTAAGGAAAATAAATCCTTATCTTGAAGGAAAAGAAATCCTAATCTTGAATGGATTCTTGTCTTCTTGAATTTCTTGGATTTTTAGCTTTCTTAATCTTGCATAATTCTCCACTAATTAAAAAAGACTTGTCCCGGAGTCCAATAGCTTCTATAGATGGTGCAAGATTTGCTATAGTAAAGAGTAGGGACCCAATGCTCACCAGGTTTCAATTTATATTTTGCTAGCTTATCATAGAACTTATTCGCGTTGTAAGAAAATATAGCATGTGGTTGAACTAAATCCCACTTTCTAAGTTTTAACTTTCTACCAAGCCTTCTCCATGAAATCTTTCTATATTGACTCTCCAACTTCAACTTACAATATGAAGTTATTGATGTTAGATCTTCATAGAACTTAACCAATTCCATGTCTAGCTTTAAATTAAGCATGGAGTTCAACGATCTTCTTGAGAATGCTTCAATTGCAACGCTTGTATGCCAACAGTCACTTTGACCAAAATCATATATATTTACGACGTGATGACATATTGTTTCTCCAATATACTTCAAACTGTCTATTATCCACTCCTTTTTAGGTAATCTTTCCTCTTGTACATGCATATTTTTATGAACTTTAAGATTAACGCAATATACTGACTTGTTTGGAATGATAAAGTCAATAATCAAGTCAATATTATGTTGAGCATCTCTTAAAGGCGAAAAGTCAATGACACACATAGTTGGGTTCTCTAATGGATCATCATAAAACTTTGGTGGTAAATCATCATCTTGTGGATCCAATGTATGTTCCTCGTCTCTTTGATAATGGCCTTCATCAATTCTGTCCTCTTCACGACCTTGATTATCTGAATATTTATCATGTTAGGCATGTTGCCTTGGTATTGTTGT